AGTTAAGATGTGAAAGATTCCAGACAAACGTTTTTATTTTGTAATTCCACGATAGTGACAGGTAATTTTCATAAAGAAATAAAAAATAAGAATAGCGTGCCGATTACATTAAAAATGAGATTATTATTTCTTACTCTGCTTAATTTTTTAGTTTGTGCACAAACTAGTTTTACAATGAACCGAAGAAAACAATGCATTTACTATTTCCGAACGTGTCGATATGGTGTTAGTGTATGGTGCAGCCGCAGAAAATGCGCTCGCGACGACTAGGTTGAACCGGGAATTATGGCTACAACGTCACCCCCCCAGTGCAAATACAATCCTACAGTGCGTTCAGCGGCTGCGAGATACGGGAAGTGTTATTCCTCGAGGAGAAGGACGTGGTCAGCAAGTGAACCTTGAATGTTGAAGATGCAATGTTGGAAAATCTTGGCGAAGACCCCACAATTAGTACTCGAAGACTCGCACAGCAAGTAGGAACCTCATCTCGTACCGTACATCGCATCTTAAGGCGCCAGCTGTTGCACCCTATCATCTGCAACCAGTTCAACAGATTTTACCCCCGGATTGTGATCAACGAATGCGCTTCTGCAGATAGTTTTTACGTCAATGCGCCAATCAAGAAGACTTTCCTGCTTATGTTTGTGTAACAGATGAGGCGACATTTACCCGTGATGAAATGAATTTCCATAATATGCAATTATGGGCCGATGAAAATCTTCAAGCTATTAGGGAAACTCATTTTCAACATCGGTTCTCGGTAAATGTTTGGGCTGGCATAATAGGCGATGTACTTGTGTGTCCCTATTTTTTTGAAGGGCGACTAAATGGACCAACATATGCTGACCGGTTGCCTGAATTATTGGACGAAGTGGCATTACAAGTTCGGGCACGTATGTTTTATCTTCAAGATAGGGCTCCTCCACACAGTACTCGAGAAGTAACAACGCTTTTGAATGAAATGTTTCCTCAGCGATGGATTGGACGCTTTGGTCTTGTGCAGTGGCCACCTCGGTCACCCGATCTAACTCCAATGGACTTTTATCTTCGGAGTCACTTGAAGTCATTGGTTTACAATACTCCAATTGCTACGGTGGAAGGAAATTTTTCAGTCGCATGGCCCGCCCGATTGCCAGATTTGAGTCCGTGCGACTTTTACTTATGGGGTCGTTTGAAGCAGATAGTGTATTCTATTCCAGTTAATTTTTGCTGAAGCAGTTTATACAGTTTGTCCGCGGTTAGGGTGAATAAGAGCAAAAACTTTTTTATTTTACATTTTACGGAAAAAAGGCACACTTATCCTAGTGACACTTTTCAGAGATATTAAAAATAAGGGTAGTTTACTCTCGTGACATATTCGGATTTTTTATTTTCTGGACACACCGTACATGAAACGTTAAGTTTCGACATGGCACCTCATTTTAAATCCAAGCAAAACTTTTTATCGAGTGTGCCTTTTTTCCGTAAAACGTAAAATAAAAAGTTTTTCCTCCCATTCACCCTAACCGCAGACATACTGTATAAAAAACATTTAAAATTTGAAAAAATATATTTTCTGATCTAAGAGGGACCCACCGCCCTAGCTACGCCCCTGTAAATGAATTGAAGTTTCACTCACAGACTCCTTAGATTGTGTAGATTTGCGAACGATGCTCTGTCCATTTCCATGATCTTGTTGTCCATCAGGGACAATTGGTGCAGGGGTATCGGCGGGAAACTCGACGCCTCCACGTACTTAATCTGATTGTTCTGCAGGAATCTGAAAAAAAGGACGGGAAATTAGATAACGAAAGGTTTAGCTGACCGCGGACGACCGGACTTGGTTTCGAAATGAGATGCTTTACGTCTAATTCCCTACAGGGTGAATCCTAACTGTGTTTACGTATTTCAAGCAGCTGTACAGTTTACTGTGTAGAACTTTAGTGTAAATAAATAGGTACATGCTTGTTGGATATCCCATCACTAAATTAAAGAAAAATTATTATTTTTAATGGAACACCCTATATATTAGTGCATACTTAGGTTCGTTAAATTTTTCTCTTTTCAAAAATATACAGGGTGGGCCACCTGTAACGCCTCGGTCGCTAGTGACCAAACGGCAAATGTTACAGAAACCTGTTTAGGTGGGTATGTGTAGGTTGATTACGGCTACATTTTAAAAATNTACCAGGCAATAATAATTTTTTCAACTACACTTCAACCCTCGGGATTTTGTGTAGCTTGAAAGAAACACCTTTCCCAACGTAGGAACGACGATTTATCCAGAATATTGGAATGAAATGCCGGCATAAAGTTAAAAGGAACAAGACCGATACCAAATAGCTAGGCAGAGCGAAGATGATGGAAAACCAGTGGCGTACACTGCAAAAAATGTAGGTATGGTTTTAAAGCAAAATTTCCATGATTGTATTCACCCCAATTTTTGTGTAGGTATAATTGATTGTATTTTCTCTGAAGTAAATAAATTTAACATTCCATCAGCTTTAGAAAATGTTAAATTATTTGGAATTTATGTCAATCGGATACAATTTTCTAAAATTGGTCTTCTTTCCGAAAAACGTTCAGGAATAATCGTCCAACTCTCCGAATGTTTCATCCAATGAATAACAGTCTTAAAATCTTTTACTAGACTCTGCGTCAAGAGTAAGCACAATCAGGTATTGACAGTTGTGATTGTGCATGATATTTCTCGAAAATAGCGCACAATTGTTAATCTTGTTCAGTAATTTCGTGTCACGGATCTTTTAAAGACTGACAATTTAATCGAATGCGAACATTGAAGATACACTTTTATAAAATATTATAGTTCGTGCCTCAACAATTTCTCATTCAGTTCGTTGCCAACAGTAGACGATGAACGGTCATTTTTCCTACACAAGTTAATGTTAAGTGATAAATCGCCGTTTCACTAAAGAAAACTTAGAAAAGTGTAGTAATATGTTATAACTCCTTCCAACATGCCACGGAAGCCTTTTCTTGACGCTAAGATTTATCGGGTAAGTGGTGTTATTTAAATTTATACAAGGTGTGGCGTGTATAGTCTATAAAAATTAAACTACAGCTTCCTGATGATATTTGTGATAGAAAAGTCTTATACGAAAAAGTTCTATCTTCTTTTTTGTAAATTAAAGTTCATTTATTCAACGAAAATGAAGGCCGATCCTGTGTTATTTATTAAAAACTTTGGAAATGTTTTTATGCGACCCGAGATGCAACCTTATAATTTAAGTCGGTATAATCTAATACTAGTAATACTAAAAGAAGGTTAGGTTACATTCTCAAAAAAATTGTGCAGTCAACTGATTTTGTATTTGTATTGAATTAATTATTCACTTAATTATTAAATATTAAGCATCGTCCATCGACCCATCAGTTAAAATGTGAAAGACTCCAGACAAAAGTTTTTAATTTGTAATTCCACGATAGTGACAGTGTAATTTTCATAAAGAAATAAAAAATAAGAATAGCGTGCCGATTACATTAAAAATGAGATTATTATTTCTTACTCTGCTTAATTTATTAGTTTGCGCACAAACTAGTTTGACAATGAACCGAAGAAAACAATGCATTTACTATTTCCACACGTGTCTATATGGTGTTAGTGTATGGTGCATCCGGAGAAAATGCGCTCGCGGCGACTAGGTTGTACCGGGAACGATGGCTACAACGTCACCCCCCATGTACAAATACAATCCTATAGTGCATTCAGTGGCTGCGAGATACGGGAAGTGTTATTCCTCGAGGAGAAGGACGTGGTCAGCAAGTGAACCTTAATGTTGAAGATGCAGTGCAGGAAAATCTTGGCGAAGACCCCACAATTAGTACTCGACGACTCGCACAGCAAGTAGGATCCTCATTTCGTACCGTACATCGCATCTTAAGGCGCCAGCTGTTGCACCCTATCATCTGCAACCAGTTCAATAGATTTTACCCCCGTATTGTGATCAACGAATGCGCTTTTGCAGATGGTTTTTACGGCAATGTGCCAATCAAGTAGACTTTCCTGCTTATGTTTGTGTAACAGATGAGGCGACATTTACCCGTGATGAGGTGAATTTCCATAATATGCACATATAGACCGATGAAAATCCTCACGCGATTAGGGAAACTCATTTTCAACATCGGTTCTCGGTAAATGTTTGGGCTGGCATAATAGGCGATGTACTTTTGGGTCCCTATTTCTTTGAAGGACAACTAAAAGGACCAACATATGCTGACTTTTTGGAGAACCGGTTGCCTGAATTTTGGACGATGTGGCATTACAAGTTCGGGCACGCATGTTTTATCTTCAAGATGGGGCTCCTCCACACAGTACTCGAGAAGTAACGACACTTTTGAATGAAATGTTTCCTCAGCGATGGATTGGACGCTTTGGTCCTGTGCCGTGGCCATCTCGGTCACCCGATCTAACTCCAATGGACTTTTATCTTCGGAGTCACTTGAAGTCATTGGTTTACAATACTCCAATTGCTACGGTGGAAGGAAATTTTTCAGTCGCATGGCCCGCCCGATTGCCAGATTTGAGTCCGTGCGACTTTTACTTATGGGGTCGTTTGAAGCAGATAGTGTATTCTATTCCAGTTAATTTTTGCTGAAGCAGTTTATACAGTTTGTCCGCGGTTAGGGTGAATAAGAGCAAAAACTTTTTTATTTTACATTTTACGGAAAAAAGGCACACTTATCCTAGTGACACTTTTCAGAGATATTAAAAATAAGGGTAGTTTACTCTCGTGACATATTCGGATTTTTTATTTTCTGGACACACCGTACATGAAACGTTAAGTTTCGACATGGCACCTCATTTTAAATCCAAGCAAAACTTTTTATCGAGTGTGCCTTTTTTCCGTAAAACGTAAAATAAAAAGTTTTTCCTCCCATTCACCCTAACCGCAGACATACTGTATAAAAAACATTTAAAATTTGAAAAAATATATTTTCTGATCTAAGAGGGACCCACCGCCCTAGCTACGCCCCTGTAAATGAATTGAAGTTTCACTCACAGACTCCTTAGATTGTGTAGATTTGCGAACGATGCTCTGTCCATTTCCATGATCTTGTTGTCCATCAGGGACAATTGGTGCAGGGGTATCGGCGGGAAACTCGACGCCTCCACGTACTTAATCTGATTGTTCTGCAGGAATCTGAAAAAAAGGACGGGAAATTAGATAACGAAAGGTTTAGCTGACCGCGGACGACCGGACTTGGTTTCGAAATGAGATGCTTTACGTCTAATTCCCTACAGGGTGAATCCTAACTGTGTTTACGTATTTCAAGCAGCTGTACAGTTTACTGTGTAGAACTTTAGTGTAAATAAATAGGTACATGCTTGTTGGATATCCCATCACTAAATTAAAGAAAAATTATTATTTTTAATGGAACACCCTATATATTAGTGCATACTTAGGTTCGTTAAATTTTTCTCTTTTCAAAAATATACAGGGTGGGCCACCTGTAACGCCTCGGTCGCTAGTGACCAAACGGCAAATGTTACAGAAACCTGTTTAGGTGGGTATGTGTAGGTTGATTACGGCTACATTTTAAAAATATTTTGAGATATACAGGGTGTCCAGGAAAAGCGTACCATATCAAAGTTATGTTTTTTTAAATGGAACACCCTGTATTTTACTGCATTTTTGAAAGCACCGTAAAAAAATAGGTGAACTTTATTAAAGGTTCTGCATACCTAGGACTTACAGTTTGTGAGATATTTCAATTTTAGTGAAAATGCAGGCATAGCGTAGAAATTTAATATTAGCAATAAAAAAATAATTTTAAGGAAGCAGCTTTGGAGGGTCTATTTTAGATCCTTGAAGTTATAAATTGTTATATTTGTCGTCACTTAGTATTATACAGGGTGTTCAAAAAACTGCTGAATACTTCTCTCAACTTTAAACAGCAATAACTTGGTTATTTTAAATGGAACACCCAGTATATTTTTACTTTGGGAGTTGGGAAATTTAAAACTCTTTCAAACTGTGTATAGGTTCCCTATACCTATCTCTAACGGTATTGGAGATATTTGTGCCGTTTCGTTTTTTATCGATTTTTTTTTTAAGATGTATCCACGTGTCTTTATCGAGGTCTTTACTGAATTGGTTTGGGTTCTTCTTGATGACGTCTCTTTAAATATATTGAGAAAAATGAGGATGCAATTAGATGGCGCACCTGCAAATTTTTCATATTCAGTGAGAAATTATTTAAATCGAAAATTTAGTAATAAATGGATAAGTAGGAATGGTGCATGTCAGTGGCCACGTAGGTGTCCAGACCTCACCGTAATGGACTTCTTTGTTGCGAGCTATATAAAAAATCTTGTATACAATGTTCCACCTATTACTTGCGATGATATTGGAGGGAAGGATTAGAGATGCATTTGCGTGAGAATATCATTTGAAGATAGAATAAGATGCTGTATTCAGGAGAATGGTTATCAATTCGAACATCAATTAAAATTTTTCTTTGTTTTTTCTAAAAGTAAAAGTTCCTTTTATCATTATCATGAAAATATTCAAAAAAGTTTTCTAATAAAAAATATTATTTTATAAGCAGAATGATTATAAAAAGTTATTAATTTTGTATAAATATGTTTGTAGTAAGTAACTGAATTATTTATGAACAAGAAAAATATTTATTAAAGAAAATTTTACTTTTAGAAGAAACAAAGAAAAATTTTAATAGATGTTCGAATTGATAACCTTTCTCTTGAATACAGCATCTTATTCTATCTTCAAATGATATTCTCACATTCCTTAGAATAGTTATTTGGGGTGATATATCTAATCCTTTTCTTCATATCATCGCAAGTAGTAGGTGGAACACTGTGTACAAGATATATATTTATACAGCCCGAAACAAAGAAGTCTATTACGAGAGGTTTGGACACCTGTGGTAGCCACTGACATGGACCATTCTTACCTACTCATTTATTACTTATTTATCGATTTATATAATTCCTCACTGAATATGAAAAATGTGCAGGTGCGCCATCTAATTGCATTCACATTTTTCTCCTTATATTTAAAGAGACGTCATCAAGAAGAACTCAAACCAATTCAGTAAAGACCTCGATAAAGACACGTGGATACATCTTACAAAAAAAAAATCGATAAAAAACGAAACGGCACAAATATCTCCAATACCGTTAGAGATAGGTATAGGGAACCTATACACAGTTTGAAAGAGTTTTAAATTTCCCAACTCCCAAAGTAAAAATATACTGGGTGTTCCATTTAAAATAACCAAGTTATTGCTGTTTAAAGTTGAGAGAAGTATTCAGCAGTTTTTTGAACACCCTGTATAATACTAAGTGACGACAAATATAACAATTTATAACTTCAAGGATCTAAAATAGACCCTCCAAAGCTGCTTCCTTAAAATTATTTTTTTATTGCTAATATTAAATTTCTACGCTATGCCTGCATTTTCACTAAAATTGAAATATCTCACAAACTGTAAGTCCTAGGTATGCAGAACCTTTAATAAAGTTCACCTATTTTTTTACGGTGCTTTCAAAAATGCAGTAAAATACAGGGTGTTCCATTTAAAAAAACATAACTTTGATATGGTACGCTTTTCCTGGACACCCTGTATATTTCAAAATATTTTTAAAATGTAGCCGTAATCAACCTACACATACCCACCTAAACAGGTTTCTGTAACATTTGCCGTTTGGTCACTAGCGACCGAGGCGTTACTGGTGGCCGACCCTGTATATGTTACTGTTTGATTAAGAATTTTTCGACATATTTCAGTTTAAAACTATTTTTGAAAAAACGGGAGGGAAATTTATGTCTGACGGATCGCAGTGGCTATGGATGAGGCACGCGGAACAAACAAATGACTTTGACAGAAGTTTATTTATCGTCATTAATTTATTTCTTTTAACAAAGAAATAATGTTTAGTGAGAACGAAAAATTTGAAGTTATCCGTTTATTTTATGATAATAATAAAAATCGTTCTTAACTTTAACAAGTCTTTAATAGAATTTTAATATCTAATTAATAAAAACCAACTAAAACACAAATGGTCACAGATGCTCAATGTGACCGCCATTATTATTGATGCACTTCGTATAATCCTCATTAATTTTCACTTAAATTTTGTATACATTGATCAACTTTATGTCTTAGTTCATCTAAGTTTACACTAGTTTCCTTTTAAGCCTCGTTTTTTAAGTAACCCCACAGAAAACTGTCCAAGGGTGTGAGGTCTGGACTATTTGAACGCCATTGAATATTTCCTATATGTTTTTGAAAAGAGAAACGAAGGTAAGTGCTAATGCACTAATATATAGGGTGTTCCATTTAAAAACTATTTTTTCTTTAATTTAGTGATTTCCATTATTCATTTTTTTTTCTAATACTGTATTATAAAAATAAACTCACAATAATTTGTCAGATTATAGTGACTAACCCTGTACATTCTAGGATTCATTTCGATTGGGGCACCCAGTATATAATTCAATCCAGCCAATACTTCGAGATTTTCTTCTGGAAAATGCCGCCCTTTTCTCACATGGCACTGACATATGAACCGGCGACAAAAGGAAGCCACGAAGCTCATTTTTCACCGCTTGCAGAGTACGTGTCTGTCTGTTCAAATTAGTAGAAGTGTATCTCGTTTTATTGTTATGGTGATAACACTCGCAACGATTCCATTGTGGCTTGCAATTCAGTTACGGCGCGTGTAAAATTTCGTCGTGGAGGAAAACAATTCGTTGACGGGCATCAAAGTTGAAATGCAATCAGTTTGCCACATTTTCCCTTCATATTTTTTCGTGATATTGCACGTTGAGGTGGGAGAAGAAAATGGAAAGTTCGTGTACGAGGGGAAAGAGAAATTTTAGTCAAGCGCGTTTTATAGATGATTGTTTCTTTGTTTATTGTCGCCAAAATTTTTTTAAAATATGAAATCTTCATTGTGATCAATATATGCGATGCTCAGAGCTACTTTGAATGTATACAACAGGGTTGATAATGGAAAGTATCTAAAATTAAGATCATTCTTGAAACGCCGATCGGATTGTTGTCGTTTTAAAAAATCACGCGTTTTAGAAAATGAATGAATTAAAAAATTTCTAATAGAATCCCCTAATTTAAGTCCAAAAGTAATTATTATAAATAATAGTTATTTATGGTACTAGTGTGTTACGGTATATACAGGGTGTTTCAGGATTAAGTCGACAAACTTTAAGGAGGTATTCCTCATAAAAAAAACTAAGTAAAAAATCTAGTATATATTTTTTTCCCAAAGATGCTTCATTTTAGAAATATAGGGCGTTAAATATTTTTAAAAAAATTCCAATTTTTTAAATAACTTCTAAATGAAGAAGGCTATTTAAGCCAAATTTGGCATGACACATCTTCTAATAAGATACCATTTTTCCATAGAAGTAGAAGTCCCGCAAGCAACCAGTGGCGGAGTTATGGGGACTCAGACTGATTAAATTATAAAAAAAATTAGTACGGCCTTACTGACAATAAAAAACAATGCTGTTTTTAGATAGAACAGTTTGTTATTGACAAAAAGTGTACATTCACTTTTTTCTGCTTAATAATAATATGCCGCCTCATCTCCCGCACAAGTCT